TTGTTATTGCTTTAAATGTTATGTTGATTGATGATTATGATTAATGAACATACTGATTAAAAATGAATATGTTGATGATTATGGTAATGATTAATGGTTGGTGATTATGATGATTAAATCTTGATAAATGTTTTGATTAAAAATAGTAATTATGAATGATTAAATCATAATGAATATATATTGATGATTGTGAAAATAATATGTATTGTCAAGGGTATCTAGAAGACCTCTAAGATATACCCATATTAATGTTGATTTGAAAGGTATCTAGAAGAACTCTAAGATATACCTACATAAGTTAGGCCTTGCGGGTATGATTCCCGGTGGCTAGGGTTAAAACATACGTACGGGATCCAAGAACCAAACTTGAGTACCTACTCGTTTGGGGGTACCACCCACCCAACAATGAACACTACGCTGTCGGTTTTTGGTTGGCCTTAAGTTAAGGTAAGTTTAAGATTTCCAAAACCCTTTTATCTTAAACTAGGCCTAGCTTAAGGATTATTAGGAGTACTCTGTATACTGGAATATAGTTTAATTTGTTAAATTAGAATTCCTTTAAGGGTTACAAATATTAAAATAATTGGCCTTAGACTAAGAATAGTTTAAGGATATTGTTGAATGACAAATGAAGAACATACATGTTGAACGATTGAATAATGAATGTTGAAAATTGAATATTAATTATTGAATATTTGAACTGAATATTATGTGCATGATATCAAATGATTTGATTGTGAATTGAGATACAATTTATATGGATGTTCGACGCATTAGATATGCTTACTCAGCTTTACCGCTGAGCGTGTAGCATGTTTTATTTGCTACACGCAGGTTAATAGAAAGAATGATGTGACGTGATCCTGGAGGCGGACGGAGGCGAGATTGTCGGAATGGATGCGATGTTTTGAATTAAAGAACATAAATAAATTATGTTTATAATTATGATTTGTTAAGCTTCCGCAATATTGAAAACTCCGTATTATTTATGATATGAAAATATTATTGTGATATATAAAAGTGTTTGAAATGTTTTAAATTTTACGATTACCAAGTTAATACTTTAGTCCGAAAGGGGCTGCAGACCTGGACAGATTAGGGTGTTACAGGAACTACACGTGAACTGCCAACTGTCTAAGGAAAATATGACGGATTCAATACTTCGCCATGACAATACCAAGTATAATAATTCTCGATAAAACCTTCTGTGTATAAATGCCAACGCAAGTCGTCTTCAGTAACAAAGTACATATTTTTACATTTCCCACAAGGACATCGAATTTTCTCTCTGTCAAGAAATTCAGTTTGGGCACTTGCAAATGAAATAAATTCTTCTACACCATCAAGATATTCACGTGTCAAACCGCGTTTAATCAAAGCATTTTTGTTGTACATCCAACTTCTAGATGATATAGACATAGTACCTGAGTTACAAGTGCTAAAAAAATTAAAATTTTTAAAAAATAAATCATTACAAGAATGTCTAAAAAAAGACAAGAATGATTTTATATCCTAAAATCAATGAAAAAAGACAAGAATAATTTTAGGCACGGACTAAGCACGTCCACAGCCGTGCCAACGGCGCTGGTACATAATCAAAATCAAATCATGTCAGGGAATCTTCACTAGGCACGACTATTGGCACTATACCCGTCGTGCCTAGTAGTTTCAAAATTTTAAAATATTTAACTGGAATAAATCTTTTAAATATCAAATCTATATATTAAAATAAATTCAAATTCACAAAATGTACATTATTGTAAATAAATCATCAATTAACTATATTTATTAGCGAGATAGAAGATGTTTTTTCATGTAAATTTTGTATAAATATTAAACACTCGCGTAATGGATGAAATGAAATTAAAATGCCAAAAAAACATATTACACACATACTTACTGAAATGAATATTCATATTACACATACTTACTGAATAAATGTAATGAAATTAAAAATCCAAAAAAATATCGTACCTGGATGGATGTAAGGAAATTGAAATACTCTGTATGTTTCTGGATGAAATGGTTTCGTATATAAAGAAATTGTGAACTGCAATTATTGCAATGTGAACTACTCCCAACTACTTTATAGTACAAAAACTTTGTAGATAAGTTTTTATAATTTCCTATTATTGTAGTTCTTTCTTTATTTCATCTAAAAAAAAGTTGTATCCTGTACTTTTCTCTAATTTTAGTCTTATTATCTTCCAATTTTAATATATTTAAAATAAAAAAGTTTTTTTTGTTATGGGTATGATTTAAATGTTTTAATAAATAAAATTATGTCTTACGGAAAGTGGCACGGAATTAGGCACGGCTATTTCCATGACAAAACAGTCTTGCCCATTTCGATTTTGAATTTTATGAGAAAGGTAAGGAATTGGAAAAGCTAAATCTGTGCCTATTGGTTAGAATAAACGGTGTCCGACAACACTGTTAACGTCTTAACGTTTACGCTATTGGCACAAAATTTGGCATGGACAAATGCAAAGCCAAATTGAAACGCAAATAGAAACACGCCATGTGGCTACTTTCTTTTTTTCGGCGTAGTCACGGCCTGTCCGTGCCTAATATTCCGTGCCAATTCCGGGAGTTTTTTGGAGTGTTATAATCATTATAAAAATGATTTTTTACAATAAAAATGATGTTTTTAACAAATTAAAACATTATATGATGCATGACGGTAAGTTCGGGTGTTAACACTCAAGACTAGGCCACTATTTCTTATTAAACGTTATGTTGAATCATCATTATGGTGAATAAATATTATGAATGATGAACCTACTGATTAGAATGCTGATTATTTATGACTTAATCATAATTAAAAAGGGATATATTGATAATCATAACGAGAATGTATTGTTAAGGGTATCTAGAACAACTCTAAGATATACTCATAGTGAAGTTGATTTTGAAAGGTATCTAGAAGAACTCTAAGATATACCTATTTAAGTTAGGCCTTGCAGGTATGATGCCCGGTGGCTAGGGTTAAAACGTACGTACGGGATCCAAGAACCAAACGTGAGTATCTACTCATTTGGGGGTACCACCCAACCCAACAGTGAACACTACGCTGTCGGTTTTTGGTTGACCTTAAGCGAAGGAAAGTTTAAGATTTGAAAACTCTTTTTAAAAATATATCTTAAACTAGGCCTAGCTTAAGGATTAGAATATCTTGAACTAGAATTAGTTTAAGAATGTAATTGGCCTTAGACTAAGGATAGTTTAAGGATATTGTTGAATGTTGAATATTGAATATGATTATGATAAATATTGGATATTGAAAGATGAACGTTGAATAATGAATAATTACATGCATGATATCAAATGGTTCAATTATGAACTGAAATTCAATTTATGTGGATGTTCGACGTTTTAGATATGCTTACTCAGCTTCACCGCTGAGCGTGTAGTGTGTTTTATTTGCTACACGTAGGTAGATAAAATGAATGATTGGCTTATCCAGGAAGCGGGAGGGGCGAGACAGTCGTGGTGGACTATTGAATGAAATAAATAATTATGTTGTTATGAGACATATTTTAAAGTCGCTTCCGCATTTTATTTAAACACTTCGTATTTCTATACAGTTATGTATCGAATATTACTTATAATGAATAAAATGTTTGAAATGTTTTAAATTATCACGATTACCAAATCAATATTTTAGTCCGAAAAGGGCTGCAGACCTGGACGGATTAAGGTGTTACATCAACACACACTCACAGGTATTTGTTTAAAATCTTTTGACATAAGGTAAATTTTTCAATAGGTAAACACTTAGTAGTCATGTCAGTTGGATTAGACTCCGAAGGAATTTTCTCTAGCATGACAATGCCTTTTTCAACTATGTCTCTAATAAAATGAAACCTAACATCAATATGTTTTGTTCTATAATGAAAAACAGGATTTTTGCATAGTTGAATGGCAGATTGACTATCAGAAAACACAACCACATTCTTATCAAGCAAGTATATATTTTAGATAAAAGACCTCCAAATAGCTTCTTTAAAAGCATCTGTGGCAAGAACCACACAAAGTGAACATATAGGAAGTAGTGGATTTTCTATTATCCCTATCATTTGCATAGTTGGAATTCACATAGCCAATCAATTTAACACTTTTATCACTTCTTGAAAAAGTTAAACCAACATTCCTAGTAGATTTCAAGTATCTCAAAAGCCATTTTAGAGCATTCCAATGAGCCATACCCAGACATAGGGATGGAAATTCAACCCGAACCCGACCCGAAATTTTTTACCCGAACCCGACATCGGGTCGGGTCGGGTGTGGATTTATAATTTTACCCGACCCGAACCCGCACCCGACCCGACTAAAACCCGAATATTTTATTATATAAAAGTCTATCTATGGATATAATGAGCACTCCGTATAATCTCTTGACAAAATGCTACTATATCAAATATGTTTTTTTATAATCATTTTTATAATCCCTTAATAAAAAATGAGACATAAAAAAGAGACACAAAAAAATTAGATTTAATCTTTTCAAAATTATTGGGGTACGTCAAATTGATTATTGGTTAAAAGTCGGGTTCGGGTCGGGTTCGGGTTGAAATGTCGGGTTCGGGTCGGGTTTCGGGTCAGTTTCGGGTTTGGGTTTTAAAAGTCGGGTTGGGTTCGGGTATAGTGAAAAAATTGAAGTATTAATATGAAGTATATATTAAAAAAGTGAAAAAATATTTACTTGCCACTGTAAGATTTGTCACTCAACTCATGTGCCACTGCATGACTGGACTACATTTAATTGGTGAAAATATAACACGTCATCGTGTGACATTTTATTTTCTCCTTTCCACTGCTCATACTCTGAGAGTTCCGAACTCGCGTAAGAACATTTTTAAAGCAAAAACCATTAAGTATAAATTGTGGAATAAAAAATGTTAAAGGTACACAAAAAATGTAGCCCAAGTACATCCCAAACCTTCTCCACCACACCATTAAGTCTTGATAAAAAAGTTATGCGATAAGACACATGGACACGGCAAATAATTTTCTTACAGACAAAAAAATAAAACCGGAAAAAATTATCCAATGTCCCCACACCTTGTTTTTTTCACCCTCTTTTCCGTCTTACAAGTGCAATCACCTCTCTCCCCTGCTTAATTTTCCCACAAAGACCCGTCCTCTGGAAGAGTAGCGACCCACTGATAATCTCCAAGCCTTCTCTCTCAGAGATCCATGAAAAAAAATACTTAAAAAACTGAGAGACTGAAGGGTTCCAGAGAAGGTCGGAAAATGGGCAAATACATGAGGAAGTCGAAAACCTCAAGTGAAGTCGCTCTCCCGGACCTCAGCCACGCACAATCCTCTCTCGGGGTCCGGACCCGGGCCAAAACCCTAGCCCTCCAGCGCTTGCAGCGGTCAACGGCCGTCGCTCCCAGCGCCTCCTCCGCCGGCTGTTCTGATTGTGGGTCCTACATGCAGCTTCGCAACCGCCGCCTCCAGAAATCCCCAATTGGTTCCCACCCTAAGTCTTCTCCCCGCCCCCAGCGTTCGTGCCCTAGACCGAATCTGACCCGAAACCATGACCTGAGAGCCAGCCCACCGCTCAGGAAAAGTTCCTCTGGAAATTCAAGCTCTGTTAATAAGGACGGAGAGGAAAAGGGCGAAAATTTTCTGCCGGAAAGTAAAGGTAGCGATGAGGGTGCTGATAAAGGAGACAATTTAGACTTTGAGGCATCATTCGGGGAGAATTTGGAGGATTTCGAAGGTAGAGAAAGGTGGGTTTCTGGTTTTTCTCTATTATCTTTACTTTTATTTGTATAAATCTAAGCCTGACCCTATTTGGATTTGCACTTTACCTGAAGTGGTTTTTTCCAGGTTTTCTTGTTTTTATATGTAATTAGAGACTATCTCCACTTTTTCATTTCAAATGTTTCTCCGCCTCTTTTTTATGTTCATTTTATCGATAGAAATTTTTTAAAGAAATTTCTGTCTTCTCTTCCTGGTTTTATATTGCTGGTTCTTTTTAGTTTTTTCTGTTTCTTTCCTCCAAAAAATGTCAACTTTGAATTGATGGATGAGTCTGTAATTGAATTCTTACAATTTATGAAACTTAAGTAAAATATGGGGAGAGAAAGAAAGCCAAATTCATTCTTTTGTATTCTCTTTTTAAAACTGCTTCGGTTACAAACTTGGGCTTCGTGCTTCCTTTCATGATGGTTGTAGAAGTCAGACTTTTTCTTCATTAAATGGCTCTTTTTCGCTGATCAGTCTACAGTCCCTGTATAAATTAATGCAAAATTGATGGTGTTTGTTCATGGTATTTATTTTACAGATTGTCTTTCAGTCTTTAGGAATGTTTTCTATCAAAAGTTGTGATTGTTTCAGCTTTTGCAATCCAGGACACTACTGACCAGTCTATAGGAGATAATACATTAATGTGGTTCTTTTACAATTTGAAAATAGCAGGTGATAGGAGTAGCATTTAAACATTTTGTACTTTGTGCTCTTTTTTTCATCTGTGAAATAGTCATAAGGTCAAATACCAATGTTGTTCCCCATTTTTTGATGGAGGGTTAGTTTTTTATTCATTGCAACATTACTGATATGATATTTTCTTTCGACCACTATGGACGTAGTCTTTAGTATTATACGGAGTACTGAGTTACGCTATGGAAGTATGAGCAAGATTCTGCCAGTTTGCCTGGGTAACTTGAGAGTAGTGCATAAATACTACTCCCTACTTCATTCAAGAATTTCCATTTTCTTCATTGGTATTTATTCTGTACAAAGGGGTATTTTTTCATCACAGTTCTGCTCTTTGGCGCCCACCAGCCCATCATTTTTCTGTAATTATTTTTCCTCCTATATCTTTTAAAATAATAGTCATGTCACCTCTTGTTTTATAGGTCTTTTAATGCATTTTTTAAATATATAAGTTTTATTTTAAAATTTAATACCGGACTTTTTTAACGAAAGCTCGTCACTATGCCCAACTTGTATTTAAGACACTGACTTTGTTAAAGTGGGGGTGATAGCAGGACAACGAGGGAGAGCACACCTTGCAGTTTCATAAGGGATCCAAATGCCATCCAAACTCCACCAGGTTCCAGTACATCAAGGCGTCTTACCAGCTTAGGCCAAGTCCATAGCAGCAGGCCACAGAATTCTTCGCAAAGTCCCATCCCGGCAACTCGTGAAGTTGATGAGTTCTTCTCGGATGCTGAAGTGCAGCAACAAAGACAATTCATTGAAAAGTAGGAGTTTGGTTCACCCACCCACCCCCGCCCCCGCCCCTACACAAACAATCTCTTCTTTTTTCTCAATATCTGTCAATAACGTTGCGCCTCTCCTTATTGCATTTGCAGGTACAACTATGATCCAGTGAATGATAAGCCTCTCCCCGGACGTTATGAATGGAAAGAAGTGAATCTTTAGAAAACATGTATCGGCGTACAATCAATCAAGAGTAGCCCTGCATTCTTCTTGCTTCTGGCTTACGCAAGATGATGCGGATTGCTTTAATTTTACTTGTAAGAACCCTAGTCTAGGATGTGTAGAGTAATGATCTGTAACATATCAGTGCTCAAATTTGACAGAGCAAATATACCAAAAACCTTTTGTCTAACAGATCATCATCATCATCAACATGTGGGTGTAGTAGGGGGGAAGGGGGTAGTTCGGTAATTGTAGTCGTAGTTGTAGGGGGGGTTAGCTTTTGCCATTTGGGCTCTGTCCCATTAGTAACAGAAGTTAACTAATCTTTCCTTCTTTTTTTTTCTGGTTTTCATGTAGTTTCTTGTCCCTTTCTGTTTCTGTTTATAAGGTTCATACTGTGTGTACTGCTGGAACTGTCAAGAATTCAGAATAAATGAACTTATTCCCCCCATTTTCCCCTTCTCTCAAATTGTCTCTACCTACCTTGATCATATTCCTCACTCTCAGACTAAGTAAATGGTTTGATTATGAAGTAGTTGTTGTTTGATTGTGTGAAAATGAGCTGTGTGGTGGGCCTGTTATGGCTGATTAGATTAATAGGGAGTGTATTTGTTTTGTGGTGGAAGAATCTTTGGCATTCACTGTGATCTGACCCTTGTTGGTTTTCTGGGACCATTTTTTTATTAGGCCGATTTGATAATATTTGTTCAGGTACGAAAAACTGCTTCAAGGGGTAGTGGGCTTTAGATTCGAATGGTTTATTTAATGACAAACCCAGACAAAACATAATGTTGATGATGATTTAGCACACAGAACAGCTGGTTTTCAAATATTCAAATTCTAATACTAGCATTAGGGTTTTTTTTGAGTGATTCATTTGATTACAATGTAGTATCCGATCATATTTTCTCAACCTAATGACGTAAGATGAGCCAATGCCTCCGCCCCCATTGGGGCTCGAACTTGGAAAAACTTATCTATGAATCTTAAGAAGTGGGCTTTTCAACCTTATTGGTAATTTTATTTCAAGGGTCAATTGTATTGTACCTATCTTTGAGCAAACCATTGTTCGGTTGAACAACGAAATGGTTAATCTTGGGTGCCGGTTCTAATACGAGAGAGGATGTCCGTCCATGTAGCAGTAATGTTAATTATTGTTAGAAGAATTAACTGATAGACTTTACTTTATTATGATACAAGGACCATTTTCTCTGTGTCGTGCCGGACCCTGGAGGAAAATGACAATAATGTTCTAATATACAAAGCATGTCCGAGAATTGGAATTCGGATCCCTCAAATGGAGATTTAGAAGAGTATTTATAAATGGAATGTTGGAGTTAGTGTCAATATTGTTTGACATGTGATAGCATACTAAAATCAGTCTTCTGACACTTACATTTTAATGAATTTATGAATGGAATGTTGGAGTTAGGGGCTGTTTGTTTCAGCCTCTTAATGGTTCAGATGTCTGAATGGTTTAGCACTTAATGGTTCAGACTGTTTGTTTCAGCTTCTTAATGGTTCAGACATTTGCCTCTGAATGATTAACTATTATACATAGTCTGAATGGTTAAGACCTCTTATCTGAATTGATCAGACATTTGTCTCTGAATAGTTAAGCAATATACTAGCTCTTAATGGTTCAAACCTCTTACTGGTTCAGTACTTAATGGTTCAGACCTTTTACTGGTTCAGCACTTACCTATTCAGAAGTTGCCAAACAGCCCCTTAGTGTCAATATTGTTTGACATGTGATGCTATTGCATACTAAAAATCTAAAATCAATCTTCTGACACTTACATTTTAATGAATTTTAAAAAGTCTGAGATCCTTACACTATGTTTGGTTCAAGGAATTTGAAAGGAAAAAAAAAGAAAATATGATGGAAAATCATTTTTCTTGTTTGGTTAGAGAGAATAAGAAAAAAAAGATGAAAGAAAAGCAAATGAGAAGATAAATATTGTTAAGAGGAAAAACCAAATTCCTTCTATTTTGGTGAGGAAAATGAGAGAAATACATTTTCTTTTCTTTTCCTTCTAAATTCCTTGAACCAAACATAGTGTTAGTATATGATTACCGCAAACCAATATTCAAATACTTACATTCTAGTGAAAAATATAGAACGCCTTAATATTCGATTACTACAATTGAGTATCTAAATGCTACCCGAAAAATTTTGTTGGCTCATTTTAACAGCTACATCAGTATTCGAATACTATACAGAGATATTCGAATACGATATTAATGGCAACCATGCTGCTTTGTCTCAATAGGCGCATGTAGTCCGGTTTCTTTTATAAATATGAAGGCTTTGTGGTATGATTCATACATACTCGTTCTATAAGCTTATGTCTGATTTGATTAAATATTTTGAAATACTATAGAAATAGCTTTAATCTGAAAGCAATTTTCGCACTCCGTGTAGCCTACTACATTACTCCGTATTTCATACACTATCCACGCTACCAAGGGGCGTGTCTACTCTATACGAGTATAATTTTGTGCTCACTATTTGCACAACCATTGTGCTTAAAGAAAACTTAAATGCTCATTAACCAGAAACTAATTTCTCACTAAATTTACACTAGATGCACATTATTCCCCTACCTATAGTTGTAGCAAAGAATTTCCCATCATCCTAAATCATAAAGCGACTTTAGTTTTGAGAGGGAAAGAGTAATATAGTCAATTTGTACCAAAATTATTTCCATCATCTCCGATGGAGCCAAAATTTCACTATTTTTTGGCTTTGGGGTGTGATGGAATAAATCAAAATGGATCTCTAAACTGTCTGCGCTTCTTTAATTAATGAAGTAGCAGTTAGTCAAGCAATGCAACTTTCGACGTTGAGCCAGGGGTCTCTTTGGAAATAGCCTCTCTACTTTCGAGTAGGGGCAAGGTCTGCGTACACACACCCTCCCCAGACCCTACTCTTGTGGGATTTAACTGAGTTGTTGTTGTTGTACCAAAATTATATTACTGAGGAGTCCCTTCATCCCAATTTAAATTACTTGTTTCAATTTACAATTTTTGACGGAAATTATTTTTTCAAATTATTTTATATGAAAAGCAGTGTAGAATTTAAAAAATTAAATTACATTTTTAAAAACTACATCAAAGAATGACTGTTATTTTATCAAATGAGTAACGAAAATAAGGAAAGAAAACAAATAAAATTTAACCTTGTGAATAATAAACATGCATTTTAATTTGAGACAGAGGAAGTAACTTCTTTTTACTCTTTAAAATTATTACTCATTTGCGTTATTAAAAAAAAAGAATGTACAACGTTATCATAACGCTTCTATGGCAAATTTCCGTTCTCATCTCTCACATTTTCAATCAGTGAAAACAACAAATGTACCCAGGCATCTAGTTTTCATGAATATGAACACTAGCCATAGGAATTACAGTATCTGCTTTTCAAAATTCTCTTTGCCTCTCTATATACTCCGCATTTTCCTTGGGGTGCATATATTAAATCCAAAAACAACATTGTATAGTTCCCATTTGAACAATTGTCTAATCTGCACTGGATGACCGGAACGAAAACAAAACAAAAAATCTTAGTACCTTCGATAAAGCCCAGCTTTCACGCGTCTACTTTTTTCTTCTTTTTAGATGACTTTGAATCTTCAGCATTGCGCCGTTTCTTCCCATTTTTATCCTTCCCCTCTCTCTTCTTCTCATTGTTTCCGCTAAATTCTGATTGTACCATGTGCTCACTTCCTTCTCTAGGGGTACTACTATTTATACCATCCTTACCCTTTTCAGTTCTCTGTTTTTTATTTTTTTTTCCTTTCAAATCCACTGATGATTCTTTCTTGGCTGGCTTTGTTTTAGCCTTTGAACCCTGGTGAGCCAAGAAAGGGGTAGCTGATGTTCGGGAAGAAGTTAAACTGGTCTGAATCTGTTTCCTCACTTCTTTCATCTTCTCAGGCTGCGGTTTGTGGCGTGTATCGGCAAGAAAGCTATCTTTCTTCAATTTGGTGGCATCAGTGGCTCCGAATTCCGCATAAAATTCCTGTTTTGCAGATTGTTTTGAAGCTTGTCTTGTTTTCCATACATCTGGTTGTCTTGCATATCTGTGATCACCATAAAGTAAAACCAGTTATTGCAAATTCTAATTCCTAATAAGATTGGAAAAATCAATAAATAAATAAATACGGAGTAAATACATATTAATAATAATACACCACGATTCTCATGACATTGGAAATCAATGTCATGGGATGACCCGAGGTCCCTACGGTACTCCGTTCGAAAAATTAATTGTTCCTACCCCTTCTAACCCCCCCAACTCGGCCCGACCCGAACCAACCCCTCCTCCCCCTCAATTGCACCCCACAAGATGTAGTTGACTTTGGAGTCAAATTTTGACTCCAAAGTCAACTACATCTTGTGGGGTGCAATTGACGGGGGAGCGGTGGTGGGTTCGGGTCGGGGCGAGTTGGGGGGGTTTACCGGGAAGGTTAGGAGGGGTAGGAACAATCAATTTTTCGAACGCAGCACCGTAAGGACCTCAAACGGAGCTCATGTCATAGGATGACATTAGGGGTTAATGTCATTAGAACCTTACCCATAATAATAATATTATTATTATTAACCATCAAATAATAATAATAATAATACATAACTCCTTTCAAGAACATTATTATGTGCATGCTCAAGTTTGGAACTCTTAGGGAAAAAAACAAAATAAAAATAACAGAAGTTCAACAAAAACCCGTTTGAGGTGACTTACCCATCAATATCAAACTTCCCAAGCAGGTAAGGCCCCTGTTTTGTTCTTGACAAATCGGCTCGCAATGGTAACATCTCTGAAACAATGGTCTCCCTCAGAGATAAGTTGCTGGTATTAAAGCATTTCTCAATCATAAATGCCCCAACATGATGCACAGAGAGCTCACCAAAATGTCCTTGGAGCCTAAAAAGACGCAGAAGTGTCATGCTAATAAACATAGTTCAGCCTGATATCAATAGCCCAATAAAAAAACTCAGGTAGCTACGGAAACGTACTTGATCACTAACTTCCTCTTAAGCTTTGCAGATACATTAGAGTTTAGAAATGCTTCAACGACGCGGGAACCACTGGGATCTTTAGAAACCACAAGAAGTTGATCTTTTTCCAATGACGTGATACTAGAAGCAAAAGCCTGTATACATTCCTATACCAGACAAAATACTAATTAGAACTAATAGTTTCAAACAGGAAAGCATTATCCTTTAAAAAGGATTGAGAAGTAAACCATCAGGTTACACCCTAATAGAAAATCCAGTCATTTAGTTCCACAGAGATTGTGTCATTGCAACATTTAATTCTTAACTTTATATTGGAAACAGCCTCTCTACTTTCGAGTAGGGGCAAGTTCTGCGTACACACACCCTTCCCAGACCCTACTCTTGTGGGATCCAACTGGGTTGTTGTTTGTATATAGTTCTATGACTTAATTAACTTTGCATTTTACAACTTCTGGTCCTCTGTTAAAATATTAATCCAATAAAACTTAGCTCATGAGGACGTTCAGCAATTTAAAGTTTGTCCAATTGAGTAAATGAGAGCTTTAACTTGACATTCATACAAAACTCAATCAATCAGTGTAGAGCATTGTGCAATTGCCTCTCAAATATATGTTTATTAGCTGGGAATGAAAACTGAAAATCGTAGCTCTATTTTTTAAAATAGGGGTCAGGCTCCATACATCCGACCCCCTTACCCCGCAATGGCGGAAGCCTTTGAGGCACTGAGGTAATGTTGTTGTTGAAAACAAAAAACCATTTGTGTGTTGATGCTAGTGAAATCATTCGGATGATGTGGTCAAACTAAAAGTTTGTGGAAATGACCCCCACAATAGTCAAGAGACTAAGAGGAACTTTGTCAAGGTTCATTTTGCATTATTCTAGAACAAAGACTAAATTGGTGGCAAAATGCAAGAGTTCTGAAAATGCTAGATAAGCTAGAAATAAATGAAACATGACAACAAGAGGAAAAGTATGACTTTCTTTTTTGCTTGTATGTGTTTTCCTTAAAGATATACTACGGGTGCATCTCATGAAGAGGTGGTGACTGGTGAGGGCCATCTGCAGTATGTCTGCAGTATGAGTGTGGGGAGAACCATGGGGCTGGAATGCTGGATGAGATTCTGGTGGCAGACTATGGTCAGTAATAGGTTGGTGTGGGTTACCAGGTTCGTTAATGTATTTTTAGGTCGGCTAATATGCTGGATGAATAGAGAGAGAGTGTGGTGATCCTGTTGTACAACGGAAAAGGTGACATCCAGAGTTGCAATAATTATAGAGGCATCACACCACTGAGTCACACCATGAAGGGTTTGGAAACATATCATTTAGGCTAGGTTGAGGAAAGAGGTTCATTTCTGAGAATTAATTTGGTCTCATGTTGGTCAGTCTACCATAGAGGTCATTCACCTCCTGAGGAGGATGATGGGGAAGTATAGGGTCAAGAAGAGCAACCTACACACAATGTTTGTTAACCTAGAGAAGACGTACGACAAGGTTTCAAGAGAGATGACAGAGATCTTGTGGAGATGCCTAGAGTGCACAGGTGTACCAGTTGCTTACATATATGCGGACAAAAATACATGTGTGTCGGGTAGAAGGCCAGGGTGAAGCTATCGGTGGTGACCTGGACCCCTTCCTGGTAGAGATGGGGTTACGCCAGGGGTTTGACCTTAGCCTCTTCCTGTTTACATTGCTGATGGATGTTCTGACGCAACATATCCAGGGGGAGGTACCTTGGTGCATACTTTTTGCTGACAACATTATACTGATTGTCGAGACACGTGAGGTACTCAATAATAAGTTCTTGTGCTGAGGTGGTTTGGGGCTTTGGGCACGGGAGGAGGAGAAGTGTTAAGGCCACATTGAGGAGACAAGAGAGGCTTGCGGTCATGGGCATGAGAAATAGGAGTAGACCAAGAAAATAAGAATGCGGCAATTAGACACGGCTTACAACCTCAAGATCTAAACGAGGATATGACCTTAGATAGGAACGCTTGGAGATCTAGGATTAGAGTAGTTGTGTAGACCTTTCACCTTTGGACCTTAGTCTATAGTTTTTGTTGGTGTTATTTCTTACCTTAGTGCATAGCTTGTGCATGTGTGCTTTCTGTGTTTTGGGTCTAGTTGTTAGTGTGGGTATGTAAGCTGCGTGTATTGTCGTTGTGCTCTCACTTTGTTCGTGCTGCTGTGTTTACTTTGCTTGTGCTTCTATGTTTTAGCCGGGGTTTCTTGAAGCCAACCTCTCTACTTTTGAAAAGGGGTAAAATCGTCATACACAAACCCTCTCTATCCCTACTTTTGGTATGATTTTAGTGGATTTGCTGTTGTCATTGTTGTATATAGGCATCTCATATATGAAGTCGATATGATAAATATTCTAAGCCGTTAAGCGTAAGAGTAAAGTGGTCTCTCTCCCTCACTATTCATGGACCAATAAAAACAGTTAAAACACTGAAGTCAATAAAACCCAATAAATAAATGTTGACACCTACACTGGGAAATCTGAAAATAGACTGCAGGATCAAAGAGCCAACAACGTGTATCCTGGAACCAGTTGGCCAACTCCAGTTAAGCCTGTCTTCAGAGCTAAAAAAGTTGTCAACAAACAGTATGTGTGGAACAATGCACTTGAGAGATTCATCTCCTTCACATACAGCAGAAGCCAATGCCTGACAACACTGCAAAATGAACTAAAGCTAAGAGAAAAGAATGAGCCAATCATCTTTGTTTTCCTAAAATTAATTATCTCCGCCCACTTCATTCCCTGAGTTGCGCAAGTTTTGAGAAACTTGAGTAAAAATTGAAGAGGAAATTATTCATAAAAAATTACAAACCTCTGTTTCACGGTGATGGAGCTTTTGAGTTGCAGCAATAAGAGAGGCGACAACTCCAGAACGGCCCATTTCAAGTAGGTCCTTAAATTTAGTTCCAAGCTCCTCCCAGATTAGGTCAATCTAATGTAAAGAGCGGATCGATTAGCATGAGGTATGAACATCCCATTGTGATAAGTGATCTTAAAAAATCAGAAAGGATTTGTGTGTGCTAAACCCTAAAATATGATGTATGTGTGAGGTCTGTGCAAGAACATGTTAATGTAAGTGCATGCATGTAGAGAGGGAGGGGGTGCAACCCTTATTCTTTATGCAGCATATATTTCAAAGAAGACAAATGTTTTCAAGAAAAAATTGAATCACGGGGAATACATGTTCTGAGCATTTAGTGTGGGAAGCTAAAGCCTGCACAACAAAGTTCCCGCAATGCTGAGATGACATCTGAAGCAATGACGTCTTGAATACCCTCTGTAATAACTCGTTGTATAAAGTGTCCGGAGCAACTTCAATGATGACCTGTAAATTTGAAATAGAGAAAACAAAAATTTAATTCCAACAGAGTACCCCTTCAAGTGAAAGTAATTGCAAAAACAAAGTACAAATGCATCGCCCTAGCAGGAAACATGACCACAATCCTCTGCTGTGTTGTGAAAGCAAAGGACCAAAGGAAGTACAGGGTAATTTTAAGAATATCAAAGCAGTAGGACAGGGTGATTAGATAAAAGTAAAAGATCTGCCTAGATAAAAACACATTCAGGTAGCTAAAGGTCCGATTTTTCACATGAAGTTCCAAATAGCTTAAATCATGATGACATAAATGGGTTCTAGAGATATCTGGGCCCAAAAAATGGATGAAAAGATAGAAAAATATGCGGCAAATTTTTAAAGAAACTGAGCAGAATAAAACCCTAAACTCATTATACCTCAATTAAACGACTGTAAGAAGGTTCTTCAACATGCTGTGGAATTTCTTCTAATGTTGTACTCTCTATTAAGTTTCCTTCCATGTCGATGTTGCAGCCAAGAATAACTTGAATCGTATTCAACAGCTCTGGCATGTTTCCAACTAATGATTTCAAAACCATCTGCAGTTTGATTGGTAGGATGCATCAACATGTATTATTAGTGTAAGAAATATATTGAAAATTAACCAATCAATGAATAAAACTAAAAGTAATTTAATTTGAAATAAACATCAAGCCAAAGTTGAAAGGATCGTATAAACTTGCCTGCAGAACTAAACTGCAATGCTGATCCATGGAAAGATTAGAAATGTTTTCTCGTGTGGCATTTAACATCTCTGACACAAGGTACTTGAGCAAATCTGGGAACCCTCGGCTAGGATAAGACATGTTCTCGTCTGATCCAGGCACCTTAAAGTTCATCCGTTCTGCCAGTATGGTTGCTGACTTGGTCCCATGGGATCGTTCTAAGGGCATCCCATTCAATAGACAAAGAAGACTTCGAAGCACGTGTGATCCATAACAGTTGCACATTACATCAACAGGATTGATAATTATTGCCTGATTTTTTAAAAAAAAACGTGGCACAAATTAGCATTGATATACAGATATGAAGCCAATGCTCATTCTGTTACACATTTTTTTCTCAGAATGACTGACCATCTTAATTTACAACTAAATAATCACAACAAGGCTGTTTCGACACAAAAGTGCTACAAAGACATTTACAAACAGTGTTAAAAATGAAATCAAGCAAAAAATCTCTGCTTCACACCTCACATAGTTTTAACAAGGTGTCTTTGATAAAAGATAGTTCCTCACTCTCCTGTAGGTGCACTGACAGAGATTTTAAAGCTGTTTCAGTAACATGAGACCCAGATCTGTCAGTTGCAATGTAAGAGAACTTCTCTGCACAGCTTTGAAGAAAACCACAAAGATAATCTAGAGAACAGCCCTCCAGAAGGATTTGCAGAGTATGACTTATTACATAATCAGTTGCAAGTTCTGCTTCTTTTCCTCTTGTTTCTTCTAAGGCATTACCGCATATAATAGACCGCTCTTCTAAGTCAATCTCCTTGCTTTCAATGACATTTGCAATCTCTGTGAAGTACTTCACTGTTTCTGGATCTATCGGATTCCTAATGAAAATTTTCAGTACGTTAGTATTCTAATATCTGTAAAATGAAGTCAATCAAGCTTTCACATTGCAGGAAAAACTAACAATATATTCATTAAATGCATCACAACCTGATGAATGGTGTATAAGCAGTCCCATGTTGGTTCTTCGAGGATCTTCTAGCTTTTCGATTACCATCAACAGATTTTCCGTCTGACGGATATTCAGCCGAACTGTCAGCAGCGAATGCAGCATGCTTCTTTCCATTCCTTCTACCCATATTTTTTTCCTTTTTGCACTGATAAAAATATATACCTTCCTGATGTGTCAATTGTTCCTCAATTGGATTGCGTGTTTTATTGTTTCTACACAATAAAGCTTTCTGGCCTATAGAAACCATATGTTTTTACAGAGCAAAGCCTGCCCATTTTAAGCACAAGAATTAATAACCATAATTCAGTAATGCACCTGAAATCAAAGAAATCACTGAAATCTTATAAGTAAACACAAAAATCGGTAAACCTTCGCAGTCAACCAATAAGAAAAGCATGTATTTTAAACAAAACAGTCATAGCAACATCAAATGTAACTTTCTCACATTCAAACTTCTTTTGAATTCTAAGAAAACAGTACTAAAAGAAGCGAGCCATCCCCAAATCTTTACCAGCGTAACAAATTATTACTCCGTGCAAATCAATTTCTCGATGCACCCCTGCTCTTCCCCCCATTGAGCATACATACTCCATCTATTACTAACCACTGTTCACAGTTTGCCTTGGGCGTAGACTAAGAGTGAATAAACTGTATGTAGTATACTTTGTGTTGAGTTATTTATTAAGAAGTGAGAAATGGTGTGAGTTGATGAAAGAGTTCATGGAGACGTTGGTGTAAATGAGAGAGAGTTACTAAAATGGAAAGGTGAACGCTAATTTAGAACAACAACAAAAATAGCGAGCAGTAATAAGGAATGGTGGGAGTGTAAAATATGGAAAATAGTTGTCACGGAACATAGTGAAAATTATGACGAAGAGCCAGTTTGTCGCAGCAATGGTGTTGGCGCATTTATGGTGTCAGTGGCATCGTCATAACCCAAAAAATAACTACTCCCACCATTCCTTTTTACTCGCCTCATTTTGGTTTACGATGTTTGACAATAGTTATTTTCAATTCAATGTAAATTAAATAACGTAGTGTTTGGGAACTAATATTTCATTTCAATTCTTGCATTTCAAATCCAAAATTTGAATACTTGAATTTCAATTGACAAGGGGAGGTATAAGAATTTATAATTGAACTTTGTTATAAGTTAGAGGAATTTGTATCAAATCCAAATCCTAAATTTTTAAGATTCCCAAACATGGAATTTGAACCAAATCTGGATTTGAAATCAAAATTCAAGTTCGCAAACATGCTTTAAAAGAATTTATATATTTTAAAATATATAAAAAAATCTACAAAATAAGAAGTGAGGTGACAATATTATTTTATCAAATGAATAATGAAAATAAGAAAGATGATAAAGTTTAACACAATAAGTAGTGTATGGGTCAGGTAAAAGTTGGAGTATAAATACGAGTATATGACCTTTAAATAATGTAGGTCTATGATTCAGCTGCCAATAACCTAATTCTAACCCAAAACACAACCATTGAATTCAGATGGTAATCATGGTATGAATTAATAATTTTTCGTCTCCTTAAGCTTTTCTCAATGTTCCCAAACAAGCAAGGGTGATAAATTTAGGATGGGGTATGGACAACTGGATTGGATAATAAGACACTTGGGCCGAACCACATTAAAAGATTGAATTCAATCGATTAGTTAGTTCAACTCAAGAGCTTATATACTGATTATTTTGCTCTTGAACTTCCGATGTGGCATGACACTCTAACACTCCCTCTCAAGTGGACAACCGGGCCATTTTGAATCTAACCGGTTGACCACTTGTGAATAAACTCTCATTCCCTTGATTTTTTTTTGAGCGCCAACACCTAAAGGGCCACGAACCGCTGGGTATGGACTTCCAGACGAGCAATCATGTTAAACAGGCCACAGGCCGTTGGGTACATACTCCATACGGACAACTGGGCTAAAGACTAAGGGGCCACTAGGAATGAATGTCTAGACGGACACCTTGACAAACGAGGTGTGCCAAAACCTTCTCTAATATCATGATAAATTTAGGATGGGGTATGGACAACTGGATTGGGTAATAAGACACTTGGGCCGAACCACATTAAAAGATTGAATTCAGTTGATTAGTTAGTTCAACTCAAGAGCTTATACACCAATTATTTTGCTCTTGAACTTCCGATGTGGCATGACACTCTAACAAAGGGCGACTGACATTGTGTGTATATTGCAAAAGAACAAATGGGTACTATAAGTTTGAACAAAAGCCATTAGAAAAACATTATCGAAGCTTAGGATATAAAAAACAGAGAATAAAATACACAAAGGAGCATCTATTAATATAAATTTTACATACACATATACTCATACATTTACAGAAAATAATCAAACATAAATTATAGAAATTATTCCGACCATTTCCAATGGAGCTAAAGGTTATATTTTTACAATGTTTTAGCTTCGGGTATATGACACATATTTAACTTTTCTTGCTTCTTACTTGAGACAATGTTTGGGCAGTAAATGCATCAATGCAGGGTTTAACAGCCTGTGAATTTTTTTAGAATCTTGACCCAAGTTCAGGCGGAGTTGGAAATTATATTGTTGCTGAAATTATAGAAATTACAAAAAAATAAAAACAGAATCATTAATCGAACATATAAAAAAAATTAAGTGAATGACATACTAACAAAACCAAATATTTCATACTATAACAGGGTAATTAGCGTAAAAAATAGCCCTTCTCAGTTATCACAAAAGCAAAAAATGTAACTAATTGAAGAGAATAAAATGCATTATGTAAAAAAACACAAAAGCATACTCCTGGATGTTGGAGGTTGCCCAGTTTCAGTCGGTGGTCGGAGATCGGCGTCGCAACTTCGTTGTAAGAGTCGAATATTGCCCAATTTTCTGTATAGATGTTTTCGTGTTGGGCTTAGGTAAACCCAGGTATGGGACAGTATTCATTGGGTTGCACCACATCAAGGGTGCGTTTCAAAACAAAAAAAAAACAATTTTTAGAAAATGACTTCTAAAAATGATTTATTACTCTGAAATATTTTGAGTAAATTCTCAGAATAATACTCAATATTTATGCCTTTTTTAAATTAGTCATCAAAATTACATAATTTTCTAAATAGAACTTGATAATTGAGAATAATACTCAGTTTAGTCTCCTCAACTAACGATCGTCAAAAAGACGTTAAACCTCATACTAATTTTTTAAAAATGTACTTTCTAACTGGTTGTTTTCTTAAACTGGTCCATTTTTTAAATAAAAGAACATTTATTGTGGAAAATTATTTTTAATTTTATATGATAATAATATAATACTAAAAACTATAAATATAATTTAATAAATTCGAAATTAACGTGTTAGATTAGTTATAGTTATTTAAAAGAATATCATGTAAACAAAATACTTAATAAACGTTGAAAAATCACCCTAAATAGGAGTAAAACATAGAGAAAGAGCTCCTATTTTGGTATTTCCTTTATGTTTTACTCCTATTGAGATTTTAGGGTGATTTTTTAATGATTATTAAATATTTGATTTACATGTTATTCTTTTAAATAATTATAAATAATTGAAAATATTTACTTTCAACTTTATAAGGTTTTATTTGTAGTTTTAAGTATTGTATTGTTATCTTATAGAATTTAAAATATTTTTCCATAATTAATGTATTTTTATTTTAAGAATTGATCAATTTGAGAAAACACCCAGTTTGAAAGTACTCTTTGTGTCCATGAAGATGTGTTTACTTTTGACGTTTTCGATCAAAATTGTCAAAATTTGATCTCAAATAAAACAAAAGTGATATTAGATATTGATACAAAAATAATTTTATTAGATTTATTTTATAAAATATTTTCAAAATATTATTTTATCAAATTAATATTCAATATATATTTTATTTAATTATAAGTCAAAGGTTAAAAACGATTGACTACAAAAAGTTAAAAGTAGACAAATACTCAAAAACGTGAGTATTGCCACTTTGGAAAAGTAGTATAAAGTTTAACCTCGTTTTAACGTTGTTTTAACGGCCGTTAGTCGAGGGACTTAACTGAGCATTATTTTCAATTAACGAGTAATATCTTGAGAGTTAGTTAATTTTGGAACTAATTTGAGAAAACACATAGTTAGAGAGTACTATTTTGAGAATTCATTCTTCCCTTTTTGGTGGTTAAACCTAGGAGAGAGTATGAAAACCTTTTAATATTTATTTGGTTCATTCTTATGAAAAAATGAATAATTCTATAAATAAACAACAAAACCCTTAATTTCTAGAAACCCTACTTTCTAGAATACTAGTATATTAACCTGTGCCATGCACGGGATCGAACACAATTTTTTCGATTCTAAGTTTTTTTTCAACGTAATATATTTTCTAGATTCAAGTAAATATATTTCTAACACAATTTTTAATTAATGAACTACAACGACAAAGTAGAATAAATTATATTTAAGGAATTGAAAATGTGCTCGAATTTTTTTCATTCCAAATTTTTTGAAAGACTTCAAGGTACAGAACATTTTTGGTATGGTTGTAAGGATTTCCATTGTCATCTAGAACCAATATATTTAATCATGTCTTTGTCTTTACTTGTGAAAGAGTAACATAAAGCTGACAATGAGTAAATACCGAATTAGGAAAAAATAATACAACAAAAGACAACTTTGACCTTAAATTTTGTTAATAGTCATAACAAAACATAAGACTATTGATAATTTTTTTCCCTAGAATTTTAGGGGTACTCCTAAATCGAATGGTACCAAATTCATTCGGGGTATGTAAACCTTTTTTCACTTTTGATTTCTTGAAACCTCAATTGCACTTATAATGTTCTTTCATAGTTATTTAATGATTAATCTTCTACAATTACACAATCCCAATGTTTGGTCAATGTTTTTCAATGTACCCCCCTTTTTAAAAACTATTTTGGGGTTTGGGGTCCCCGAACATGCATTTGATTTCATTGAAAAAAATTCAACTGTGACTTGATCATGTGGGTCAAATTCCGCTGCTCTCCGTTTATTTCTTCCGTTTCGTGCGCGTGGAAAGAGCACGGCTTGTCTTCTTTTTTTTCTTTTAACTTTTGTTTTCCTTTGCTTCAATTGTGACTTGATCATGTGGGTCAAATTGACTTGGCCCAATAACTCTTTGTAAATATGCATTCAATTTTGACATTTCTTCATCCTTTTGTACTCCATATCTAAAAATTTGTATCAAGGTAAT